CGAAACTGATTTTAAAATGCAAATGCAGATTTGACCTTTGTCTCTTTCCCCATTCATTTGCTTAAAATGCCTTTTAAAGAAATTCATTTCCCCCAACAGGTGGCACTCTTTGACAATCCAGTTCATGATCTGAATACAGATAATGCCAAATTGTGTTAATCTCACAGGTTAACACTGCATCTCCAAACGTAGCTGCTCAAACTACTGTGCTATTTCTATGGTTTCATATAACCAAGAGAATGGAAAGTTTCCACAAGGCATACATCCTTTGATTAGACCAGCACTAGCCCCAAAGCACTTCTTCTGCAAGAAGTAGGATCCAAGACAAAAGTTTTGTTCATGTCTGTCATTTGGAAAGGATATTTTGAAGATGAAACCAGTGCCATTTCTATTTTTTACAAACAGAAAAAGTGCTGGTAAGAAAATAAAGAAATCAAAAGATTTAAAATCTTGCTGGAACTTTATCTCAACAACCATTTCAATGACCTTGCCTAACAAATGAGGAGCAGATTCTAGCTGATTACTAGAAGGCACAAGAATATCAACTAAGAAATACTTTCTTGGTGGAAAGTTGAATCACATGTTGAGAAGTAGTACTTGGATCTTGTGAAGAAAATCTTTTTTTCATCAGCCATGTGACTAAAACTTCCCAGTAGGTCCTGTGAGTTCTGAGTAGCATAGAGACCGTGTGGGGCTAGCGAACCACATAGTATTGTTTACAAACATATCATTTTAACTAGGTGGCATTTTCAGCTTGGTGTGATTTGATTGTTGACACCTCATCTCACATCACCTCAATTAGACTGGAGTAACGCCACATGACATCTCTCCCTTATATATAAAGGCATAATGGGCTCCAACATTCCAAAATGCACACCTTTAGTGTATGGACGCTTGAACTGTCAGTCAGAAGACGCTGGCTGGGTTGACTGGCTGCTTTGTGCAGTCCCGCCCAGCGTTTCAAGGTCTTTTGCATATGGAAGCTGATTGGACTTCACTCCATTCCACACCTCAAACTCCCCCCCCCCGCAAGGCAGTTGGAATGGTCAGTTGCATATGGAACCTACTGTATTCTGAGGTAAAATATGTCCTCACTCACAACACATCACTTCCCCTTCAAAAGAAACAAACCCAATAACACAATCATGCCACATCACAAAGAAGACAGAAAAAACTGCCACTCGGAAGACACTGGCTGGGTTCATTGGCTGCTTTGTGCAGTCCCGGCCAGCGTTCCAAGGTCATTTACATATGGAAGCTGATTGGACTACACTCCATTCCACACCTCAAACTCCCCCCCCCCCCGCAAGGCAGTTGGAATTGTCAGTTGGGAGAGGAGAATGATGTCAGCTGCTCCCTAGGCAGAGGCTGTGTGTGTGTGTGTGGGGGGGGGTTGTAAAGACAGACAGGCAGATAAACGTTGGCTGATGGTTGCCAACTCCCGGTTCGAACTCCAGGACATAGGGTTGCCAACTCCAGGTTGGAAACTTCCAGGATATTTTAGGGATGAAGCCTGCTGAGGGTGGGATTTGAGGAGGAGGAGGAAGAGGGGGACCTCAGACAGATACAATGCCATGCTGCCCACACTCCAGACAAGCTGTTGCCAGTCTCCAGGTGACAGCTGGAGAGATCTTAAAGCTTTGGTGCTACTTCAAAGTTCCCCAGGAGCCCAAAACAGAGTAGTGTTTTGGAAAATCTTTAGGAATTGTTTGGTGCATTTACGATGGGGCTCCTGGGGAACTATTGTTGCCAATCTTGGCCCAGCAGCCATCAAACCATTCTCTTCAACCCCCTGCTGTGCAGCTGACTTTCCCCTAGGGTTGCCAATCTCCAGGTGGGACCTGGAGATCTCCCACTGCTACAATTGATCTCCAGATGACAGAGATCAGTTCCCCTGGAGAAAATGGCTGCTTTGGAGGGTAGACCCTATGACACTATACCTGCTGAGTCTTTCCGCCCCCCCGCCCAATGCTGCCCTCTACAGAATCCACCCCCCAAACCTCCAGGTATTTCCCTCCTTAGAGCTGGCAACCCTACATTCCCCTCAGTGCCTGTTGGTAGGCAACTAAGCTTGGTCCTGTCACCTACTTTGGCCTTTGGGGGAAAACACATTGGGGCCAGTCCTGATAGGGTTGCCAACTCCAGATGGGAAATTCCTGGAGATTTGAGGGATGGAGCCTGAAGAGGGCGAGGTTTGAGGAGGGGTGGGACCTCAGACAGGTACAATGCCATAGACTCCACCCTCCAAACCAGTCAGTCCCTCATGGGGAACCATTGTTGCCAATCTCCAGGTGAGGGCTGGAGACCACTCAGAATTACAACTGCTCTGCAGAAGGGAGGGCAGAAGTCAGCTGAAGTCAAAGGGGCAGATAATGGTAGGTTGATGGTTAGCTGGGAAGGAGATGGGGTTGCCAACTCCAGGCTGGCAAATTCCTGGGAATTTGAGGGGAGGAGCCTGGAGAGGGTGGGGTTTGCGGAGGGGTGGGACCTCAGACACTTAGAATGCCATAGACTCCACCCTCCAAACCAGCCATTTCGTCCTGGGTAACAATTGTTGCCAATCTCCAGGTGAGGGCTACAGATCACTCAAAATTACAACTGCTCTTCAGGTAGCAGAGATCAGTTCCTCTGGAGAAAACAGTGGACTCTGTCATTATACCCTGCTGAGGTCACCACAGCAAATTGACACTGTTTGCCCAAAGCCAGAGCACTCCCCCAGAGCCTCTTTCTAGATCTCGTTGTATTTATTTCCACAACGGGCTTTATTCCTAGTTGCATTATAAATCAGGTATTAACTACTCCAGGATTCTCGATTGTTCAGTACTCCTCCTGAGGTGGAAACTAAATATTCTGTCAAAGGAAGAGAGAAATTCAAGGGACAGCAGTTTTTGAATTTGGTTTTAGCCAGGGCTTTTTTTGTAGAAAAAGCCCAGCAGGAACTCATTAGCATAATAGGCCACACCCAACAACAGAAACTCATTAGCATATCCAGTCACACCCATGAAAGCATAGCTCATTAGCATATTAGGCTGCACCCCCATGTTACCAGAAGTGTTGACATCCAGCCACACCCACCTTTTGCTTGTTATTCTGTTTACCTTGTTGTCAAAACCTAGGGCTTTTTTGTAGCAGGAACTCCTTTGCATGTTAGGCCACACCCCTAATGTAGCCAATCCTAATGAGTTTCTGTTATTGGGTGTGACCTATTATGCTAATGAGTTCCTGCTGGGCGTGGTCAACTTGGGAGCCAGCCGGAACTCCGTTCCTGTGCGTTCCTGCCCAAAAATAGCCCTGGTTTTAGCTGACAAAAGTTCAGAAGCTTCTGGTTGGTAATCTTGTAGTTTGGCTAGGTAGTGTGTGTTCCTGTACCCTGTAACGATCAGTTGTATATCTGTAAAGAAAATACAGAGAATACCATGGGCTTCTGGTACTCTGTCCTCCAAAGCTGCCCTGTAAATTCACTCTCCATTTGGAAAGTGGAAAATATAAAACTTAGATGAATACCTCTGGAATTTTCCACAAGGAAACAGGCTGATATTATGTCAGAAAGCCCCCCCCCCCCGCTTTGTTACCATGGAAACAGCCAACTCACTGTAAATCCAAGCATTTTGTATCAAGACTTGAGTAGTCAACCTGGAGCACTGGCGTGGATCTTTCAGACATGGGGGAAACATGCAATCTGCATAGATATACGTCTATATCTAACAAACTGCAAGCACTGTTTTGCTTGTGGAACAGAAATTTCTCACAATGCTCCCAAACAGTGTCCTCAGGGTTCAAGGAACACCCAAGAGCAGAGCTGGGTTGATATGGGGGGTGTCCGTAATGAGAGAAGGAGCTGTGGGGGGGGGGAATGCCTGTATGCTGGGAGGGGGCAAGCTTTGGATGCAACCCATAGATTCTGTATGAATAATGAAATAAAATCTCACCTTGGTGTAACAGTTGGTGGTGAAAAGTATGGCGACCCAGTAGGGTTTTCAAGGCCAGAGACATTCAGCTGTGTCACAATCCCTGGGCTTCCTTTGTCGTCTCTCATCCAAGTACTACCCAGGTCAACCCTGCTTAGCTTCATGAGATCGATCAGGCTAGCTATCCAGGTCAGGGCTAAAAAGAATTACAAACATTAGTTTTATTGTTGTGGAAGAACTCCTTTTTAACACCACAGTTTTTAAAAACTTAAAGCTTAAACTGCTTCCCTGAATGGGTTTTGGTGATGTAGCTTGTTTCCAGTGCCTTTCTCACACTCCAGACAACTGAAGTAAACAAATTAAATTCTGTGTACCTTGTCCCTACTTTGCATTGGGAAATGTAATCCAGCTACTTAGAATGTATATTTTTAATTTTACTATGCTGAAATTCTCCCATAGAAACAGAAATAAAATCTTGTTTTATTTCTAATTTTGCTAGAGATCATCAAGCAGTCTCCCAGTATACCTGGCTAACTGACTGCTGATATTTGCAACAATGTCTAAAAATGCTGAGTATAGAATGCAACAGGCCAAAGGGCAAAACTGGTAGACACTGAGATAGCTGGATTTACAGTAACACTGACTGAGCCACATTCACTCTCAAGAAAGTTTACATTTGACATGTATAACAAGTGCATGGGTGGTGGTGCACCCACGCATTCTACCTGTTTTTTGTTGGCACCTTTGCCTGACTGTTTGCCTGCGGTTCATGTCTTGCCTTTCCTATCTAGCAATCAGCTAAAACACCTTATCCCTCAGCAGAAAATCATGCCAAGAAATTAAAGCCTGCTCGGATCCTCTTGTTGCCATGTCACCTTGAAGCCCTTTTACATCTTGCTGTGTCTCCTGAGGGTTTAGAAACGTCTTAAGAGTGTCATCACATGCTGTATAAATAACAAATATATAAGCTGGAGTTCCTTAAGCCTCTGCAGAACAAAAGCTTGGAAACATATCGAAATTGACTGCAGTCTGTTTTCTCTTCTCTTCTTTCTGGCAGTACCTCTCTAAAGCCCACAGTGTCACTCAGAGGGGGCAACTGTAAGCATCCTTTAAGAAAACTTCATTTACTGGTAAGAGTCTGCATTTTTGCACTGATTGTTACAACACTGACCTACAAAGCTGGAAAAAGTCACATTAAGGAAGTGGCTATATATGTTTTATGTATTGCATGTAGCTACTGCACTCGGGTTTATTTTTTTTTATAAAATTGCAATTACAAAGTATAACAGTTTCATATATCAATTAAAAAACAACAACAGACCATTGTTGTGACTTGCATTCATGGCAAATTTGGACAAATAATGCTCATATCATCATTTTTATATGTATATTTTAACAAAATCTTCACATTTTGCATAGCAAAGCTAGTCATACATATAGTTCTTCATTTAAATAAGGTTTACTATATTGACCCCAAAGGAAGACTAGGGTTTTTCCCCCCAGGATTGTCAAGAAAAAGAATGGGTTATCTTCCATCCATATAAAGGTATGTACAGTAATAATTTTTTGTGTGTATAATTGTTTTTCACAGGGGTCATGTTCCTGTCAGGTAAATACGGTACATATATATAGCTGTGGACAGGATCACTAGCACAGACTTTTAAAAGTTGCATATAGTTTTATGCACCTGAAACTTAAACTGTGCACATCTGTATTAAGTCTTGCTGAGCACAGTGAAACTTACTTCTGAATTAGAGTGTTTGAGGTTGAGGTGCTAGTCAACATTTAACTGGTCTTTCAGTGGATTGATGTAAATAATAGTCCTGAAACTAATTATCTAAAAGGATACTTAATGAATGCTGCAGTTTATTTACCTGGAGAAAAGTATCTAAATAAATAGCGGACAGAATCTGTTGTCGTAAAGGACCCCAAAACACATTTTTCTAATATCAGAGATTTATATTCAAGACTTCTTTTCTTCTATTCGTAGAACAACCCCATAAGCAGAGAACACCATGCTGTGCAAAGAACTTTACATGTGATGCAAAATTGTGAACACTAGTGTACATTTTTGTTTGGGTAGCTTATCCTTGTTTCTAAAGCTTAAAAGCTTTAAACTAGGGGTCTCCCAACAGGTAGCTCACTGGCTAATGGGCTTGTGTGGCAGGAGACAATCTGTATCCATCAGGATTAGGTTGTTAAAAGTGCTTTTAACTCATTCAATCCAGGTTTTTAGTTATCTCAGACTAATCATTCCTTCAAAGATCATGTCTGTGTACTAACCCTGTCTTTTCTGTCATTACTGCTCTGATTCACAACTGCTGAGTGTTTTGTTTCTGTGAGTTGGACAATTACACTGACACATCTCTGCAACCTTGTAGACCTTCATTTTCTCAGTAGTGGTGGTGATGATGACAACAGTTAAGAGGCTAAACTTTAACACCAGACATGTCTATGTGTGTGTATATATATATAGAAGGATGCAAGCAACCTAATTGGATATATGCTATGCAGGTATTTTCAGCTGCTGGCTGATTGTGCTGGAGGCGGTTGACTGAAATAGTGATGTGCTGACTCCAAAAGAAGGCAAAACACCTACAGGAGACACAGAAATAAACAGCGAGGATGTCCATGATCAGTGCCCTGCCATTCCTCAAACCGATTCACTTCAGACCTCCGCGGAGCTTTCCTGGGCGCCAACGTCGACACACTCTTCCTGCCAGTGAGTTTCGGTGCCTCACACCTGAAGATGCTGTTAGCGTGTTTGAAATAGAGAGAGAAGGTAAGGTCATCTATATCCTGTGTTTTCTGAATTATCTGCACCTAATTCCCAGCTTTATTTTATTTATGTAAAGGCACCTAATTCCCAGCTTTATTTTATTTATTTAAAATATTTACACCCTGACATAATTCCTTCAACTCAAGGAAGCTAGGACAAGTCGCAAGAACACAAAAACTTAGAAAGGTCCAGTAAACAAGTTAAAAATGCAGCCAAACACTCGTTAGGTTACCTTTTACCAGATGCCCTCTGAAATAGGTCTTGTGTGCCTTTTTAAATGCAGCCAGGGGAGGTGCCTTTTGTATCCGCTCTGATAGGCCATTTCAAAGGACTGAACTTACCACAGACAAAGCCCATTTTCTAGCCGTTTCCATGTATGTAAAGGCCCTGCTTTATTTCAGAAGCAGAAGTGCTGAATTTTACTGGCTTCTTTCTCTGAAGTTGGAATATGGGGGTGGGGGGACGGGACAAAACAACATGATGTAGAAGGGAGCTGTTGCTTCACAGATGTACCACGAGGTGCCAAACTATTACAAACTGCTGCCTGTCTAAAGTACTATCAAAAGCACAATTTCCTTAGAGAGCTAAGGAGCCTCCCATGTTTCGCCTACTGTCTTAAGAAGTCACAGTGATCACTGATCAGTACAAGATTGATGGAGGGACTAGTGAAGTTTGAGTTTGCAAAACCTGTAATGGAATGCAAGACTACTCTTGGAAGCAACAGTGGATATGTGAGGGACAGTCGAGAGCCTTGCTTTCAGCCTCTCAGGCAAAGTGAGACTGAAACATATGAGACTGATGGGAGGCATAATGCCATGCATTGGTCTGAAATATGGAGGCTGAATCCTGATGCAAGAACTCATGTACATTAACCACAGAAAAGCACTACACGGAAAATCTGGAAAATGGAAATCCAGGCTTTCCATATTCACTTGTCAGTGGCAGAATCTGAATGTTGTTGGCATATTAAGGTATTTTCACTTGTATTTGGATGACTAAGCTGGTTTTGTCACAGAAATTTGAGATTTGTAGCCAAATCTGAAAAATATGAATGTGATATTTATTTTTTAAAATAATAAAAATATATTAAAGATGCCTTTAAATACTATTATGCATTGAGCCCTGCTAGGAATGGTGTATAATATCCAGTAGCCTAAAATTAGACAGTACTTGATAGCATCAGAACTGTTCTATTTGTTTTGTACTATGCTGTATTACAAGCAGCTTAAAAAAAAATTCTCTCCCTTCCCTGCTTAAAAGATAGCCTGTAACACCTTGACCTGGGTAGCCCAGGCAAGCCTAATCTCATCAGAACTCGGAAGCTAAGCAGGATCGACTCTGGCAAGTACTTGGATGGGAAACCTCCTTAGAATACCAGCAGTCAAGAGGCGGGGGCAGGCTTTATTCAGCCATCTCTCTGAATATCCTCCAGGCCCCCAACAGGGGTCGGTCAGCAGAGCTCGCCATGACTTCCAGGTGCACACAGTCACCAGAGGTCACCATGACTTCCAGGTGCATACAGACTCACTCACTCATACACATGTGAAAAATACAAAATAATAAAAAAGACAGCCTGTAACATGGCATGAAAGAGCAACTTTTCAACAGAAAAAACAACAGTGGTTGCATTGTTTAAAATCCCTTGCACGCTAGTTCTGAGCCCAGCAAACCTACAGGGGGAAATAGAGGGGATTATTGCTTTGAAATGAACCTGTTTTGGGTTTGGTGTCATTTTGATCCCAAAGACTGAATGCAGCAGAAAAAGTTTATCTTGTATCTATTCAAGAGAGAAGGTTGTAGCTTTGGCCACAGTCCTTTTTATGAGTGCAATATGTTACCTTAGGCATTTGAAAGCTAAGTTCAGTGACATAGACAGCTATTTACCCAAAGTACCAAAAGCAGGGGTGTCAAACCTAAGGCCCGCGGGCCAGAACCAGCCTGCCCAGGGCTTAAATCAGGCCCGGGGCTCTCTTCTCCACCCCTCCCCTCTCCCCTGCCTGTCCTCACCCTTCCAAGGGAGATCGGGGCTGCCAAACTTACCAGCTGGCGGGGCTTTGTCTTAGCTGGTTTCTCCAGCAGGAAGCTCCTCTGGGCTAAAGCACAAAACAAGTTGCAAAGAAAATGCCGAATGGATTTTCCTTTAAGGTCTCTGGGTCAGATAGACTACTCTGGGACTGGAATGACAGCCCCCAGAGTGGAATGACGGTCTCTGGGAGTAGCAGCTGCCCTGGGGGCTGTCATTCCAGTCCCAGAGTAGTCTATGTGGGCCCAGAAACTTTAATGGAAAATCCATTCTGTATTTTCTTTGCAACTTTTTTAGAGCTGCAATGTATTTCAGTGGAGTGGCGTTTCAGTGTTTGTAAGCCAGCTAAAGTTGTCTGCTTGCAAATAAAGGGCTGATGTTTTGAGCCAGCTTGTCTCTGCTGAATGGACCTGAAAACGGGTGCCTGAGTACTCTAACCTGGGAACCTGGAGCAAAAGGGGGACATTACACTGAAGAGCCAATGCCCCTCTGAGTAGATGGGGGGGAGGACCTTGCAATGCCCAGCCATTTCATGTTTTCCTAGGCTCAGAGCATTTTATATTTTTAGTTTCTGCTGTGATCCTTGTGCTTTTTCTTGATGCTTTATTTAAAAAATTGCATTGTCAAACCCCACTATCCCCCTACCTTTCCATTTTAGGTAGGCATCTTTTAAGGGGGGGGAAGGTTTGGGAGGTGCCAGTTATCAAAGACTGTTAAATTAAATATTGCAGAAGTATTTGTATTTTAACTTTAAAAAAACCCTTTAATCGTGTTTGTCGGTGTCCTTTATAAAGTTAATATCTTCACTACCTGGTATTACATTTTATGACACACGTGGCCTGGCCCGACAAAGTCCCATTTATGTCAGATCTCGCCCTCGTAACAAATGAGTTTGACACCCCTGACCTAAAATATTTTCCTTTGCCTTCTTGTTGGGGTTAGCTAAGAGTTAGCTCTTTTCTGCTTTGTATGAAGAATAATTATCTGGTTGACCCTTGCTTAATTTGTTCAGGAAAAACCATACCTGGTGTGACAAAAGGTGTTGCCTGGAGATTTTCTCACAGGAGCTAAGGGTGGGAATGATTAGCTCTTTTTTTCCCACCTAAACTTGGAAAGTAAAAGCAGGAAGAAGCCAGATAGGAACCCCTGAAAACTGCAATCCATTAGATTCAGGAGTTCAGCTGTGTACTCTTGCATCATTCCATTTGTGTATCCAGCCCCAGCAAAGGTATAACTTAACTGAAGTCAAGAGTACACCACAAACACTTCTCTATTCTCTACAGCATTTATTTCAGTATCAGGAGACTGCCCCCTCCACCTGGATGAGATTCGTCACTTTCTGAACCAGTGTCCGGAGCTGTCACTTGGTTGGTTTGAAGAAGGGCGACTAGTGGCTTTCATTATTGGTTCTCTCTGGGATCAGGAAAGACTCAGCCAGGTAAGAAACATCCTTTTAAATGTTTTTCTTTGTCATTTTGTAATTGTCAAGATTATAATGATAATTGAACCTAGTACAAATGCATACTGGCCAACAACCATACCTTAAGAACAGTGGTCCTACTTCCCATATATTCATGATAAATGGGCCCCATAGATTCTCAGTGTTTCTTGCAGCCATCTGTATTATACTGTTAAAATTCTACCATCCAGCTGCAGGGAGATGCATGGTGAAATGAATAACACTGTTCCCAGCCATGTCTAGAAATGGTAGCAGGCAGGCAGCTTATTAGTGGATCACTGAGGTGGGGTCAGACCTAATTCAGAATACATGGTTGCTGTTTGCCATTTTAAGTGCTAGAACCAAGTGTGTCTCCCCACTGGAAAAAACAAGTGTAATGATGACTTTCTTTCTCTCCTCCTTTTGGCAGGATGCTCTAACTCTGCACAAGCCCCATGGCTCCACAGTCCACATCCATGTTTTGGCAGTGCATCGCACTTTCCGCCAACAAGGCAAAGGCTCTATTTTGATGTGGCGCTACCTACAGTACCTGTGCTGCCTGCCATATGTTCGGCGAGCTACACTGATGTGTGAAGACTTCCTTATCCCTTTCTATTCTAAATGTGGTTTCAAAGTGCGAGGCCCTTGTGTGGTCGCCGTAGGCTCACTGAACTTTATTGAAATGCAATATGCTATTCATGGGCACTCATTCATGCGCAGGAATAGTGGCTGCTGAGGTCATGTCTCATTTTTCCCTACTTTTCAGCTTGTGGTATTGGTGACAAGCTCCTTTCCAGTGACATCCAAGTCTTCGACTGGAACCCACTGAGGTATAAGGGGGAATCCTGTTGTTGGGTCACTGAATTGACTCTCCTAGGTACAACATGGTACAAGGGCCTTCCGCATCATTGGCTGGTCAGGCAGGCTGGCTCATACAAAATAAAAGTTGCTGAGTCACTTCATAAGAAGTGATTGATATGTCAGTAACACATGATATAGTCAACTTCTACCATCACTGCTGTCATTTCTACAACAAAGCAGAAATCTAAGCCCTAGCCTTTTTGTCTTGTCTACTCCACTATCTTTAAACATAGTGATTAAAGCTCAGACCATCTTTCTTCTGTTTAGTGTAGTGATTAGGAGCGCGGACTCTAATCTGGGAGAACTGGGTTTGAGTCCTCACTCCTCCACATGCAGATCCTGGTGTGACCTTGGGTCAGTCATAAGTTCTTTCAGAGCTGTTCTCTCAAGGGCAGTTCTCTCAGAGCTCTCTAAACTCCACCTACCTCAAAGGGTGTCTGTTGTGGGGAGGGGAAAGGAAAGGGATTGTAAGCAGCTCTGAAACTCCTTCAGGTAGTGAAGGGCGGGGTATAATTCCAATCTCCTCCTCCTCCTCCTCACGGTATTTTAGCAGGCTTTGCTCTGTAATCACTGGGATTATACAGATGTGGGAACAACTAACATGTGACGGTACCAAAAATATGGTATTATAACACCTATATAAACTTTTCTTCTGTAAGCTTGAATACTTAAGTGAATTGCTGCAGGTTCTGCAGCTGAGCATTTGTTGATTTTCATAGGGCCTCAATAGTAATAATAGTCAAGGAATAAGCTGTCCCTTGCTAATAGCTGCCATGACATTGATTATCATAGTTTTGTATTGTAAGGCAAACTTGCATCTTTACCAAGTGAGTATTTGTATAAATATGCAAACAGCAGACTCTCAATGTGGCTTTTCTAGTGACATTTTTCATATTTCTGGGATTAATAAAGAGTTAAGAAATTGTCTGAGGAGGAGGACAGATTACTTAGGTCGATGCAAAGAAATCCTTTTTTCTGGCTGATTTCTTGTGTTGGTTGGTATGCATGGTAAATAGATGCCTCGATTGCTGCATCAAGTGTCCCTCTCATCTCAAGAGTGAAGGACTTCCCACATTACTTAGCTACTTTATCTCACAGGTTTCAGAAGAGCATCAGTTGTGGGGATATGAAAGCTGCCTTTCTGCTAAAAGAAAGTGCAAAGGGAGGGGCCGTGGCTTAATGGCAGAGCATCTGCTTGGCATGCAGAACGTCCCAGGTTCAATCCCCAGCATCTCCAGTTGAAAGGATCAGGTAGGAGGTGATGTGAAAGACCTCAGCCTGAGATCCAGGAGAGCCACTGCTGGTCTGAGTAGACATTACTGACTTTGATAAACCAAGGGACTGATTCAGAATAAGGCAGCTTCCTGTGTTCAGCTACATGGTCCCCCTATGGGGGGGGGAAGGGAGGGATCTATTAAGTATGAATGTTGTTCTTCACCCCATATCAATGCTTTTTAAGACAAGATTTGATGTGGATTGATTCAGTTAGATGAAACACTCTGCCTAATGGCTGTCAACTCCTTGGGTGGGGGAGTGGGGAATGATAGTGTTTATGCTAGGAGTCAGTGTTACCAGTGAGCAATAAAAGAAAGTGTGACCCAAAATGATAAAGGTAACATTCCAAACTGTAGTCCCTACTGTGGTACTTGCCACATATCTATACCAACTGCCTCCTGAGAGCAGATCAAACCTTGCCAAATTTCCTGTCCCATGGAACTTGACCTTCAGCCAACCACAGGGACACAGATACTGAGTGTATGTTCAGTGTATATTGTCAGAACTGTAGCTGCTGTGAACCAAATCAGGTACCTTGCATAATGGAAAACATGGGGTGTTTTTTTTAAAAAAACTCAGCTAACATATACTATTGCCAGTTACCACACTCAAGCTAGGCCCGATTACCACCTTTTTCAGGTAGTATCTAATCATAAGAAGGACCCTGCTGGGTCAAGGCTAGTGGTCCACTTATTGCAGCAACCAGATGCTCTTGGAGGGGCAGCTGGGTCAAGGCTAGTGGTCCACTTACTGCAGCAACCAGATGCTCTTGGAGGGCCAGCAAACAGAACATAGAGGCCAGGGCACTCCCCAGTGTTGTATCCTAGATTGGGCTTTAGGGTTCCGCTGCCTCTGAAGAAGGTGGTTCCCTTTACTCACCATGGCTAGTAGCCATTGATGGACCTGTCCTCCATTAGTCTGTCTAACCTTGTTTTAAAATCATTTATGTTCTTAACCATTATTACATCCCCGTGCAGTGAATTCCACAATTTATACTCCTTCAATAAAGAAGGTTTTTTTTTGTTTCTCATGACAAAAATCAAGTTATAGATATAGATGCTCTATAGTGCAAGCTGACTCATTTGTCACAGCTTGGGGGAGGGGGCATTTATAGCCTTATGGACAAGCGATCTCATCCTGCACAGAAAAAGGTGCTGATTTTATTAATAGCTTTGGGGACAGGGGAAAAATGCTTCTCAAAACAATCTTTTCACAGGCTTATTCACAGTGTACATTTTATCACAGTAATGTGAAACATTAAGGCAGCCATGTGTACAGGCAGTATTTGTAGCTTTTGATGACTCCATCGTGGGACACTCGTAACTTCTGCATGCCATATTTTACTTGCAATAGCTTTTGTTGAATCAAAAAATAAATGTGTATTTTCTAACGGGCACTTGTTTTTATTCTTCCCTCCCACTACTACTTTGTCATAGGAAACCATTATCAGGAAGCTATTTTGTATGTATGGGATAGGGAAGGGAAGAGATTCCCACAGTGTCCTCCATGAAGCAGATAAGGGGTGAGGTAATGGTGCAGGATGAGTCTCCAAGGGGAGGGAGCAAAGCAGTTTGGAATCAGTAAGGCAGCTTGGAAAGTATTACAGGAGCTTTCCCTATTGGTTGCAGGGCATTGGCTGAGTGCAGCCGTACAAACAGCTGAAAGGAAATTTGGTCTAATGAATTTTCCATTGTCTACGATGCAACTTAAATCAAAAAAAAAAACTGGTAGCATTAACCTCTGATCCCAACTTGGTCTATTAGATTTCAGTAACATTAAAAATGCTTTCATATTTAGTGATTTAGGATTAGGGTACAATATGGGTCCAAAGTAAGAACACTTCACGGTTAATTTTTAACCGAAGGTTGCAATGTAAAAATGGAAGTCAAGGCAGATTGTCAAGGACCTCCTGTCATAGGAATCCATGGGTTACTGAATTATATTTTAAGTTGGATCCCACCAATTTTTCTGCTGATGTATATAAAAGGAAGGCACCTTTTATTCATGAAGAGGCTATTGCCCAAGGTTATGGGGCCCATGTGGTGAAAGGCCATGTGAGATAGGACAATGGATTAGTCTTGCCAGCATAGAAACTGATGAGATTCAGCCATTACTAATAACAGGAAAGAGATGTTTATGATTTGCTCACAAAGACATAAGTAGAAAAGAAATTGATTTGGTGGCTATGCTGCCAGTTTAAAATGGCCAGTGAACCATACTTCAGCCTGTCCTTACACCTGAGGTTACCTGCAGAGTGCAGCTGAATTAGCTCTGTTTACACTTATCAATCTGCAAGTGCTTTTTGGGGGTCATTCAGTTCATTTTGGGGGGCCATTCATTGATTTTTTAAAACTCATTCAACACATACCCCAGACCATTTGGTCTGTCGCTGCTGAACATGCTTGGCCCCGCTCTTTTCCAGAGTGATCCTAAGCCAACTTTAAATTTGTGTTTACAAAAACCCTTCACCACTCCCTTAATCATTGAACACAAGGTCTGGAATCCTTGCAGCTGGCACAAGATTTCTTTAAAAGCACCAACACACTTTAACAGATAAGTAGTCAACTCTAGTAATTCTGAATATAAGAAAAAATGCATATAAAACTCACACCCTTGGTCAAAAAGTGGGTTTATTTTCACAGTACATTTCATAGTACCACAAAAAGGCACTAAGGCAAGGAAAGTTGCCATGAAGTTCAAGCACCATATTCTGCCAAAAGGCATTAGGAACAGGACCAAAGACCAGGAACAGCATAGGAAAAGAGGGCCTTCAAAGAGAAAAGTACAGAGACAGGCAGTGCAACTGGATATTGCTTCGTCCCTTCCTACAAGGCCTCCCTCCCACAGGATTCTGTCAGTCCCACAGATGAAGGATGCCATTCAGTCCTTTTCCAGCTCATCAGACAAGGCACAAGAGGCAGAGGTGGTAGAGCATGATCATTGTTCTTCACCGCAAACTGATGTGTC